AACTCATTTCCTTCTACATAGGGTAACAATTTGGACGTGTGAAAGACAGGATACGTTTTGAGATGAGGGGGAATATCAATTCGATAAGACGGTCCCTCTGCATCCGCAATTACTTTGAGAACTTCCCAACGTCCAAAATAGACGGACAAAAGTTTCTGAGACATATTTTCTTCCAATGAAAACTCTTTGGACTTGACCCAGACTAGATCACCTTCCTTGAATGTTGAGGGTCGACAATGCTTGTTAGCTTGTTCAATCATTTGGTCATGAGTTTTCTTCAGATTGTCCTTCACTTTCTTAATGTCTTCTTGAAACAATACTGCATACTCTCGAGTCCTTGGAGGTAACCTAAGGAATTGGTCCCGTGTTAGTACGTCAATGGGACGCTTAGGTTTCCACCCCTTGTGAAGTGCATTGGGCGCATGCCCGGTGGTGGTATGAACACTACTGTTGTATGCACTTGCTATCTTGGGTAAGTTTTCGTCCCAATCAATCTGATCAAGTCTCAAATACATACGCAAAAGTTGCTGGCACAAACGATTCATCTGGTCACTTTGTCCATTCGTTTCAGTCTGTCGCCCTGACGACATGGTGAGTCGTGTGCCGTACGCCTCCATGAGCTTTTGCCATGGCATACTTGTGAACTTGACGTCACGATCAGACACAATGGAGAGGGGAAATCCGTATTCAGTCACCCATCGCATCTGAACTTTTTGGATCACAAGTTCTGTTCGTGCCTCTGCGGGTAAGGGAATGAACATGACATACTTAGACAAACGATCCACAATAACCATTACTTAACTATTGCTATTACGGCTCTTGGTAAGACTCATAAAATCCATCGAAATGGACTCTCACCTGGTTCACTTGGAATCGGTAATGGTTTCAGAAGACCGAGTGGATGCTCATGTGAAGGTTTGTTTCTCTGGCATACCAGACATGTACGAACATAAGTTAGTACGTCTTCTTTCAGTCCCTTCCACTCAAAGCGTTCTCTAACCTCTGCGTAAGTGATCTTGAACCCAAAATGTCCTTCAAAGTCGTGACATTCCCCAATTATCACTCTTTATTTCTTCCTGATGAGAGAGACACAATTTAGTTCAGTTTGGTCTATCAAGAAAAACAAACCATCGGCTATCCTATATTGGGAAGTAAAGATGAATCCCTCGCAAGGACATTCATGATAGGCTTCCGAATAGGATCAGTAGCATATCCTTTACGAATTCTATCTTTCAGGTCATTCCCAACATCCAAATAAGAGACAATAGTACCAAAGAAATCACATCGTCTGGACAATGCATCTGCAACAATATTACACTTACCTTTGATAGTTTTCAATTCAAAATCAAAAGTATCAAGGAAAGCAGACCATCGTACCATCTTATCAGAGAGTCTAGGCTGTGTTTTTATCCACTTCAGGGTAGAGTGGTCTGAATACACAGCGAAGTGCCTCCCTAACAAGTAGTGTTTCCAGGTGTTCAACGCGCAGACTAGTGCATACAGTTCCCTTTCATAGGTGGAGTTGGCAACCTTGTCCGATGGCAATCATGCAGACATGAACTGCACGGGTCTATAGCCATTGCCGTCGTTCTGTTGAAGGACTGCGCCAATTTCATACTGACTTGCATCAGTAGTAACGATGAAGGGAAGAGATGGATCAACAATTTTCAAAATAGGATAGTGAGTCAAAGCATACTTTACCTTTTTAAAGGAAGACTCACAGTCTTTGTCCCACAACCAAATAGTTCCTTTCTTCAATAATCTTGGTCAGGGGTCTCCTCATCAATACTGAAGATGAGTGAGACGGGATAGAAGAGAAAGGGAATAAATCGTGTAAGCACTGACAATTTCAAACAATTCCAAAAAAGAGACATCGTGATGTACGTCTGCCGCACAATAAATAATCAATAACAATAATAAATTCCATGGCCGCACTATTCTACAACAACAAGAATTTTGAACAACCGAAGAAGAAAATAACAATAATAAATTCCACGGCCGCAATATTCTACAATAACAAGAATTTTGAACAACCAAAGAAGAAAATAAATACAATTATTTTTCATTCTAATTATTTTTTGTTGTTCTTTGTCTGTCTGTGTCATGACGTTCTAATCAAGAGTGTACAGGTACCACCTCAGGCCAGTGTGATCAGATACAACACAAGTAAGTACGCACAACACCACAACACAACAAACGACAGGTAAGTATGCCAACATCAATCAACAACAATGTGTCAGCAATCTTCTTTTTCTTTCCTATGTGTCGTTCCTGTTGCCAATCCGTTACAGCACCCCTCTTGACAGTTGGCACTACAGCTGTCCAGTCAGCCGTTCAATCAGCCGTTCAATCAGCCGTACCACCTTCGTCTTCAAGGTGCAACTCTTACTTGGCAGCCACCTGCCTGCCACGTGTCATCCCTGGCATGCCAACATCGCAAATCTGCCACGTCAGCACATCATGTCCAATCAGTTGTCGACGGGATGCCACGTCAGCAAATGTGTACTCTGATCCTTCCCACTTGCCAATTCGCGTCTTGGTGTGATATCGTCGCTGCCCCAACCAATCAAACAATGCCACGTTTGCCAATGGAGACCGATGCCACGTCAACAGGTAGTCACCACGTCTGGAAGACTGGTGTGATGAATCTCCCTGCCATGTCAGCAATCAACATTAACTTCCCCAAAGGCCACGTCAGCACCTGTTCCAGACCTGGTCACGTCTCAGCTGCTAATGCAGCACGAGAATGCCACGTCAACAATCTCTCAGCAACCAAGCCTTTAGACGTGGCACATAATATGCCACGTCAACATGGGATCGCGATGCCGTGGGCACTTCTTGATTGCGATCCCGTCTGCCACGTCAGCAATCGCGACGAGATCTCGTCTTCTCGCCAGCGAAGTCCGTGCCATGTCAGCAACACCAACCGTCTTCTTCGTTGTCCACGTCAGATCCCGTTGTCATCACATCATACACGCGCGTGTCACTTACCTTGCGCGCGTCGTCATCAGGAGTATACTCTGATACCAAATTGCAATGAACCCAGATCGAGAAGACAGTTGTCAACAATGCAAGCCCAGATGAATGTCAACCCGCTGATGATTATCAATAATCAGAATCGTGTCTATATAGAGTGAGATGGGATAATCATGCACAGACGAATGAGAGAGCAGGGAGATTAGACAAAGGAGAGGAATAAAGAACAAGGCCCACTCCAACTTCGGGCTCCCTCCTCGATCACCACCTTAGATAATCAATAGTCTGAACACACATCTAAAGTTCTATTCCAGTGTGCCACGTGGCACGTCGATCAGACCCTCATCAGCGTACTGGAGCAATGTCGACCTCGAGATAACCAGGTATGTGTCCACAATCATCCCACAGTCATGATCTCCTCCCGAGTGACGGTGAATCAGAACAACAGTGTCCGTCACGTAGCCCAGCCACGTCAGAAGATAGAACACGTGGCAGTGGCCACATCAGCAGCAACGCGTGGCAGCTGCCACGTCAGCATGCCTTGAAGACAATAGCTAGGCAGCCACCATGCCGAGCTAGCAGTGCGTCGTCGTAATCTCCCAAGTGCCAGCACAAAGCGAGCGCCCACCAGCGTCGCAGCGTCGAGCCAGCGTTGCGTCGTCAACGCGTGAAGTCAGCATTGACGCAAGACTGAATGAATCTCAAAGTCAGGAAGTCAGCGCTTATATAGCGTTGACSCGRGGTCTRRACCCSGGATGCTGCATCCCTCAGCCGTCCAGATCTCAATGCAAATTATGACCCAGATTGGCATGAAACCAAATTCCTTYTGGCCTTGATGCTGTCTGGGTACCTGCGCACAACAAGTGAGTGTATCCGACCAAGGGCCTGGGCGGGGTACCTTCGACCTGACAGTTGACTTAGACTGTTGATTTTCCCACAGGGAGTGTGCGGTCACACTGCCTGGCGCAGGCCGAGTTTGGCCTGCGTCGTCTGGGCTCCGTTTCGGGGCCCCAGACTGCTGCAGAACACGGGTTGCTGTAGATGTGGGATGAAGAGTCATATGCAGTGAAGGGGTTGTAGGACAACCCCATTCACTCTTCCACCGGTATAATGCCGAACAGACTGCATTTCGGTTGGAAGATTCACAACCCTCTCTCCTATCTTTTCCCTGAACAGCCGCCTGGTCTGACGCCTGGCATGCCTGGCTACAACGCCAAGAACAATCGCTTGCTCGAAGTTGCTGTTGCAGCAATGACCAAGCGACGGCATGCCATGATCCATCATGCAAACAAAAAGCGCAGACCTTCGCCTTTCGAAGTGGGAAGTTATGTCTGGGTCAAGATGTCTGAGTTTTCAGAGGAAGAGGAGGTGTCACAAAAACTTCTCCCTCTCTACAACGGTCCGTGGAAGGTTCTGAAGGTGGTGGGTGATGATCAGTTTGGTCCATATGTGATTGACGTCCATCCTCATCTGCACGTGTATCCGATCTTTTACGCGTCTAAACTGTTTCCGCATCTTGCTCCTGATCCCTCGTGCAATCAATGGTGGTCATGAGGTAGACCGAATTGTAAGTCACACTAGTAAGGGACATAACAGATTCTACCAAGTTCACTTTTTGTATCAGTCGTCGGATGACCTCTACTGGTATTTCAAAGAAAGAATTGCTGCAGACTGCAACTCGCATCGTCAAAGCATATCAACGACAGATAGTTTCCGATGCTGTTCCAGCATTCTCTGCAAAACTCGCTACTGCTGAATATACTCGAAATCTCTTTGCTACGACAGATAGTTTCCGATGCTGTTCCAGCGTTCTCTGCAAAAACTCACTGTTACTGACCATACTCGAAATCTCTTTTCTATGTTTGCTTATGATGTGTTTGGTCTCCAGATATCTGGAAGTTGTGCGGAGCTTCTGGACACTACCGTCTTTCCCACAGACACATCGCACTCTACTTCTGAATGTGTACAGTCCTGTTGAGGATGCTTTGTGTTTTTGGATGTTAACCATGGTATGAAAAGGATACACAGCGAAACATTTTGCTAGCAGACCAGTGGCTGCATGCGAGATGAAGCCCCGTGTTTCCAACATCTCCGGTAGCACCTGCATGATGAAGTCCACTTGTGGCAACTGTCGTCCGGTTACCAAAGGTGATACAGAGACAGCTGTTGGCCGGGAGCCGAACAATAATTCGTCAAGGATTGCACCAGACAGGTCTGCAATCCGATTGGCAGAGCTGCACAGCTGTAGCAAAACACCAACAGATGGATGAGAAGACCAAGTAGAAAGAACGAGGACTTGTGGACAATCATCATTGCAATTTTGAAATATTGACTTTCCTTTGTGCTTACTTGGACATATTTTTGTAGTTGGTGTTCAATTCCACTGGTAATAACTATCCTGCCAGTGGGCTGGTGCTAAACATGGATGGTACCAGCCATCTCCACTTATATATTGAATAATTGAACGTGATTGTGTGAAATAAGATGGATGGCTCTCCTGCTTATCGAAAAGATCTAGACATTGATTGGATAAGCATGTACTCGCATGCTTGCATCGTATGAATGTGGGAAAAACTTGACTCCGCAGATAATTGGATCAACAAGGAAGAGCCCAAGAGGGTTTATGACCATAAACACAATTTGTACTTCCCTAGCTGGGCAGAATTACGGTCAGATTCTGTCATGAAAGTGTGAGTATTTCAGAGGAAGTTTTTGCCAAAAAGAGCAGGAGATTCAGCATATCCTGGTTGATCCAATGGTCGTCTGCCTATCAATTAAGGCATTTCATTGCAGTAGCTGCTACTGAAATACACACAAAGTGAAATACTGCCACATTGTTTTTAAATCAATACAGGTCCTCATGGTCCTGGCACTGTATCCCTTTGGGGAGCATCAGTCCAGTCCCTTTCCCTGGCAAGATGAAAGATCATACAATAATTAACGCACTCAATACTTCCTTCCATCTCGGTCATCTGACCAGCATTGATTACTCCCATGTGACGGATGACTAACTGTCAGATTGTCTTTACCTTGATTGCTTCTCTCAGCTGCAGCTTGCTGCTGCAGTACTATTTTGCTTCTCTTCAAACAAAACACGTCTTCAAGTGCACACACTGTCACTTAAAAGTAAAACACGAGTTTAAATTCACACACTTTGATACCCTTCCCTTTTTTCTTTTTTTTCAAACAAATGCTCCAGTCTATTCATGGGGAGCAGCACGTGCTGGGAACCGGGCCCAGCGTCCCATATCGAATTGTACAGATCATTGAGAACATTTGAGAACATTGAGATCATTTGAGATACCGGGGCCATTACCCGGCTTCGGCTGAGATCAGTCTGTGAATATCTAATGACCTAATAAGGAACTACACATGCAATAGGCTGCCACAGAGGTCCTACAAAAGCTCACAACCCTCAGGATCCCTAAACCAGCCCTTCTAAGACTTTCCAACACAGTCTTACTCCCTGCTGAGCTCTTCCAGGCCTCATGCCCCCACCGTGCTGGGTTACAGGGCAACACAACTCGCCCCAGCTCCGACCAGCGTCGTCCCAGCAGCAAACCTTGGCTGTCCCTTGGGATGCGCCCCCAAAGCATTCCCCAGATCTCTCTACCAGGCCTCACGCTCCTGCATCAGCAGGTTACAGGGCATCACCCCAGCACCGGCCAGCATCGTTCTGGCATCGAACAGCCACAGATCACTGAGTATAACCGCTTCAGAACCGCCTAGGATGGGTAGCTAAGATTCCCTAGAGTCCTAAGACATTCATAAGAACCACCGACAAAACAGATAGGTGAAACCTATTCAATCCACCTGCGACTACCACCAGCATGGATGTTTTCAGTACGAACCGAAGCTCTTCCAGGCCTCATGCTCCCATC